TGTAACATGTTTTCACAGCTGCAGAGATGATAGAAGATCGAATCAGTGTAGCGACAATTCACCACAATCTGCCTTTTCACTGAGAATGACTGTGCGACACACAACATCCTGTACGCAGTGTGCTTTAAACAGTCTGACTGAAGACCATGTAACGCCAGTGTAAAAATAATTACAGATGTCAAGATATTTATCTACAAAACACCAGAGAAAACTCTGGGAAAGAGCGAGAAAGTTGTTTTGAAGCACAAACCAGTTCTTCAGATTAGCTTTTTGAAATCACAATAATGAATATTTACAGATAATTATGTAACCATGAGACTTTTGTTTTGTTATTTGATGAACATTTTCAGTCATGATCTCAACAGAACAAGCTGACAGTCATTTAATAAACATTTATCAATTTAAAATCACTTTGAATAATTATAACTAATTCCCTCATTATCACAGGAAGTGAAGCAGAAATGATCCCCTGATGCTGATAACAGTCATTTGCTGTAGAGTAACTGATGCTGGGAAAGCTGCCAGGCTGACCATCTGTTAGAAAACCATGAACTATTTGACTGGTAGGACTGGTTGAACAACCTGTCCTTCGTGGTTTTATTTCTGTCTCTCTGGGATCATTATTTCAGTGTTTTGATCTGATGTCTGTTTCACTGTTGTGTTAAAACATTTTGTTTTGCCGTTTCTTCAGCTCAGACTCTGGAATTTTTCTCTCAGGTTTTTCACGATGCTCTGCTGATTAACTTCCATTGAGCTCCTTTTCTGGGACTTGTCATCCTGATCCACAGAGTTTGCTGCCGTCTTGTCGGGTTCTTGAGGCCTTGCCGATTCAGTTTTAGCTTTTGCTTCCTCCCTCAGTTTATATTCGTCAGATTCCTGATAGGCCCGGCAGCGGTCGATGACTGCCATGATGGATATCTTCTCCCTGCTAGTTGGTGAACGGATCTGAACATAGTTGTCTGCTCTTTCGTTATCCAATTCTTTGATTGTTTCTGCAGGGTCTGACTCAGGCTCTGGCAGCTTTTCCATGACAATGATCTGGTGTTCAGGGTCGTTCGGTAGCGATGCCTGAGCTGTGATGTAGTAACCGTCATAGGTAGCGCCCCTGTCCTGGAGCTTCTGCAGCTCAGTGGCTTGTGCTCCGCTCAGCTGAGGGTCCAGAGAGTTGGCTCGGTGAAGCCGTTTGCTGCGTTCCTCTCGGCTGGTGTCCCAGCTATTGCAGGTCTTGTACAGAGGAGTAGCGAGGTGGAGGCTGGAGTGTCTTCTCAGACCTCTATAAGACATGTGCTCTGGGGGGGACTGACTCTGGCCAACAGGACTCTTCTCGGGGCGGCTGGTGTTGGAGTATTTGGAGCGGAGTTTTCGGACATCGGGCCAGCTGAAGCAGTCGATGGGAGGAGGAGCACCAAGGGGGCTGCGGGAGTGAGCCTGACCCGGGGAGACCGGGAGGCTACAGGTGAGGCCGGGTGTTGGAGATTGGGTCTGGTCTACAGGGCTCGGAGGCAGAGAGGCTGTGTCGTCATGAGAAACCAGTGGCAAAGTCAGGCTGGGTTTACCTGCAAGACATTAAAGAAACAAGAAATTTAAACCATAATTAGTGCGTTTTTAAACTTCAGTTATTTTTGTTACAACCAGTTTGATAGTGCAAATGTTTTGACCTGTCTGATTAGTTATCACTGATGAAACTAATGGACAAATCCACCAAAACAAAAACATTCTTAAAAGGGATGAAGACGTGTTTGAATGACCTTGACACTGTTAGGGTCCTTTCAAAATGTGGCTTCTCTTTCCAGCACTCGCTCTTACCTGGTTTGTACAATGTCATTCTTTAGCAGGGGGAAAATCTTAAAAACATCAAACATTAAAACATTACCTACTTGGTAACACTTCAGTCAAATCCAGAAACATGGTATTGCCTTAAATTTTTCAGAATCCTCAAACGTGTGTAAAAATATCTTCAAATCTTAAATCATGCTCATGTGCATATTTGAATCAGTATGTACATTTCTATCTGTTCGGTGTGTTCAGACACTTATGAATTGAGGTGAAGATACGTCCACAGAAGTCAGAAATGTTTCAACAACCAACATTCATGCAACAGATGTATGTGCAGTTGCTAGATTGGCTGTTTGTGACAAACTAATGTGCATTAACCCCTGCTGACCCCGGAGAGAAGGCAAAGACAAGAGCCTACGGGTAAAGAGGATGTCACAGTACCTGAATCCTCCTTCTCCTCTACCACACAGGGTAAGGTCTTCTTGCTGATCAGGATGCCCTGACTTCGCTGCCCAACCACTGGTTTGGTCATTTTGATTCGCTGGCTGTACTGGCGAGCCAGAAGAAGGACTTTGCTCATCTTGTCTACGTTGTCCAGCTGGTGTGAATCCTCATTGGGCCTTTCTTCCTCTGCTTCTGCCTTCAGCTGGGTGACCCGAGGAACCGGAGCCTTGAGGATGATGGCCTCTTCCTCGAACACCTTCAG